CCTGCTCCTTTTCCACCCTGAGCTCAGCCAGAAGCAGCGAGAGCTGCAATTCCTGCGGAATCGCAAGGGATAAATGCTGGGAATGTTCCTGCTGGGAATGTTCTTGGAGGAGGATCAGAGCTGCTTCTCCTGCTCCGTGTGCTGTGTCCCACCAGCTCCTGCCTCTGCTCCTTCCCAGCTCCTGTAAATAGGATTTTGTATTTTCTTGGAATATTGCTAATAAATCCTGGCAAAACTCTCGGCATTGCTCTGGGTGAGTTCTTGATAAGGTTTCATATACCTTTGATAAGGTTTTCTATGCCTTTTGTAGGGTTTTATGTACCCTTGATAAGGTTTTATATATATTTGAAAAGGTTTTATATACATTTTATAAGGTTTTCTATACCCTTGATAAGGTTTTCTATACCTTTGATAAGCTTTTATATACTCTCGATAAGGTTTTTCTATACCTTTTATAAGGTTTTATATGCCCTTGATAAGGTTTTATAGACCCTTGATAATGTTTTCTACACCTTTTATAAGGTTTTAGATACCCTTGATAAGATTTTATAGACCTTTGATAATGTTTTCTACACCTTTTATAAGGTTTTAGATACCCTTGATAAGGTTTTTCTATACCCTTGATAAGGTTTTATATACCCTTGATAAGGTGTTTTATATGATTTTAATGTGACTGTGGACTGTAGGTTAAGCCACAGGATGTTATTTCAGCAACACCTTCATTTAAACATCTTGGACGTGTTTTTCTACGACTTAGACGTGATTTCTACACGTTTTAATTAAAATTGATGAGCCTATTAACTCCCCCCAGGCCTGGGCACTGGGAGGACGAATATAGAGGGTGCACAGAAGGTGGTTGAGCTCTGTCTGAGCCTCCCGCCGAGCTCAGACAGGCGATTTTCATCCAAAATCCCTAAAAAACACTTATTTTCCCCACAAACTCTGAGATTCTTCGCTGCTGTCTCAGTGCCTTGTCCCTGTGTCTCCTCTCCCGGTTGCCCCGGAACGTTTGTGCCCGGAACGATCGTGGCGCGTTGCGTTTCCCCTCCGTGCGGTGCGCGGGAAGATGGCGGCGCCCAGGGCGGGCGTTCCGCGCCGCTCCGAGCCTGGCGCTGCTCC